TCGTTTTCTTTAGAACAGACTTGTGGGCAGATAAACTTCATGTTGAGTGTAACACCTTACAGAGTCTTTACTGGTTAAAAACAGGATGTAGATAGTGTTGCAGACCAGTAGACTTTACTAACAAATACAACATAAAAAACAACATAAACAGGATGTTTTTTATGAATACTGATGATATATCATTTAGCTCAAAGCATTGCTGCATCCAGTATAGTTGTAGGAAGGTGTTTGTTAAATCTGTACATTGATTGATCCAGTTTGCAATTCCAAATTTCCCCAATTATCTCCTAATTTCTCTGACTTGGATCATCACTTCATTTTTTACACTTTTCTCACCCAGAACTGACTCACAAACACACACACAAAGAAAAACTATGTCGCACAGCCACACACATCTCTTTCACTTTTATGCTGATGTGATAAACCTTTTCATTTAGCTAAAACTTTGACACCACCCTCTGGCTAATTTTTATATTAATTTCTCCATGACTGCTAAGCACCTTGGGACCCTGACAATTTTTTGTTGACAGGTGACAAATTAAAGAAAAACCATCAACATGCAGTGTCTTAGTAAGGTGTTGGGCCTTCTACAAGTCCCTGGAACTCCACTGACAAGATGAACACTGTTCTTCCAAAAATATCTTTAGAAAGACAGATGATAGTGGAGGAGAGCACTATCTAACACCTTGGTCCAAAAAATCCCATAGGTGTTTGACTGGATTGAGATGAAGTTCAACAAGAGTTTAGATTTCAACATGAACTGTTTAGAGCTTGCAAACTTTGTAATGTAGCTGCACATCACAACTAGTGTTTTAAATTGACTACAATGTGAATTAGATAGTCAGTCATTCCCTTGTGTCTAACACCTCCGTCCTCCGTTCTTCTCTTCTCTGTTTGTTACATCCTCTATCATGCATTCAAGAACCTTAACCTCTGGTCAAGAGTTAAAACAAAGGTTGTGTCGAGGGTGGTTTAATAGAGTCTACATTGCTCATCAGATAAGTTGTGGCCTTGTGTGTCTGCACAGTGCTCTCAACCCTCTGGTTTCCCTCAATGTAAAGGAAGATATTCTTGCTCAGCTCAGACAATTACTCCAGCAAGTTTGTCAGACGTCAAACTCCAGCTGTGTGGCACAAACTATGGAGGAGGTTCAAAACAAGTAAACATGTTAATGATTATGTTATATAATTTTGTATATATCTGCTGTGTGCCCATACACACTGAAGTTTAATAGCAAGTTATTTAGCCTGTCTAGCATAAATGTTGTAAATATTGCATTATAATTAATTTCTTCATTTCATTTTTGATCTTTGTGTCTGTCATGATTTTGTTACCATATGCAGACAAGGCCAACAAAAAACGCAGATGAACCACAACTCTTGATGTGTCACTATCTATTTTAAAATTTTGAGATAATGATCATGTTATGGGTTTGGAAGCCCGGTGCCATGCACACTCTCTGTTGGTTCAGAACAGGAAATCGATAGCAGTGAAGCCACACACTTCCTCCAAAAGGACTAAGACTAGTACAAACACTCTCACCCTGAAATCATACACATTTTAACATCTTTCAGTTAACCGATCCATAAATGATCTGCAAGTTGCAAATATAGTCCCATATCACTGCTACCACTGCACTACATTACACATGTATTTACACAGTAAAAATCCCCGCACTTATTTTAGGCTATTGTATCATTGCTAGTTATTTGGGGATTTTTGCTCTATGCTGCTGTAAAGACATAAGTTTCTATGTTATGTAATATCCTGGTGTACACTGTTATAGCTGTTATATGATGGGTACTGTATGTGTATTGCCTAATTGCTAATTTAATTTTGAGTTTAATTTCTTTGTGTAGTGCTGCTGCAACATCTAAATTTGAATCTGAATCAATAAAAGACTATCTTCTTCATCTTTTTATCTTAACTAATATTGAACATGTATTTATTTTGGTAGCATTAGCAGATAAAGCAGCCATTTGTTTTAGGGCACCACATTCCAAAGCAAAAGATTGTCATATAGGAATTAGATCTAATTATATCATTTTATTCAACAAGATAGCAATAATTAAAATTAATCAGGGCCCCACCCATAGAACTTCAACATCATTTAAAGCACTTGCACGTATATTACCCTAGTAGCTCAGTAACTATAGTTCTTTAAAAGCACCATGCTGAGATACTTCACAGTCAATATTATTAGGAATCACTCCATTAACTGTTATGCAGATGATACCCATTTATACCTGTCGATCAAGCCCGATGAAATTAATCAGTTATCTAAGTTACAAACAAGGACATAAAGACCTGGATGTGCTGATTGTCTGATGCTAAACTCAGAAAAAATCTTGTACTTGGCCCCAAAAACCTCAGAGACTCACTGTCTAAAGATATAGTTACTCTAGATGGTATTACCTTGGCCTCTAGCACCACTGTCAGGAATCTTGGAGTTATCTTTGATGCCATTTAATTCCCACATAAAGCAAAGCTCTAGGACTGCCTTCTTTCATCTACGTAATATTACAAAAATTAGACACATCCTGTCACAGATGGATGCAGGAAAACTAATCCATGCGTTTGTTACTTCTAGGCTGAATTACTGCAACTCCTTATTATCAGGTTGCCCCAGTAAGTCCATAAAGACGCTCCAATTAATACAGAATGCTGCAGCACGAGTACTGACAGGAACTAGGAAAAGAGATCATGTCTCTCCTGTACTAGCTTCTCTGCACTGGCTCCCTGTAAAATTTAGAATAGAATTCCAAATCCTCCTCCTCACCTACAAAGCTCTTCATGGTCAGGCCCCTTCATATCTTAAAGAGCTCATAGTACTCCATTATCCCACTAGAACACTGCGTTCTCTGAATGCAGGGCAACTTGTGGTTCCTATAGTCTCTAAAAGTAGAACAGGACCCAGAGCCTTCAGCTACCAAGCTCCCTTCTTGTGGAACCAGCTTCCAGTTGTGGTTCGGGAGGCAGACACCCTCACCACATTTAAGAGTAGGCTTAAGATGTCCCTCTTTGATAAAGCTTATAGTTAGGGCTGGCTCAGGTGGATCCTGAACCATCCCTTAGTTGTGCTGCTATAGGCCTAGACTATCGGGGGATTTCCCATGATGCACTGAGCTCCTCTCTTCCTCTCTCTCTCTTTCTGCACACATTCATGTCTCATTAATGCATATTTCTAACTTCACTTCTTCCCTGGATATCTTGTGCTTTCTCGTCTAGCAAGTTCTCATGGATCCTGTTGGAGCCTCCAGCCATGGTCCTGCTTGACTCCCATTGCTAATATCACTGATATTATTGTTATTATTATTACTACAGATACTATTATTACTATAATCACTGCTCATTGTCCCCAATCGTTGTTGTTGTTGTCGTCGTCATCATCTTCTTCATTTTCATCATCATCAGTCACTACTATTAGTGTAGTTGTTGCTACTGTTTCTGTGCACCTTTGTCTCTGTCTCTCTGTCTCTCTCTCTCTCTCACCCCAACTGGTTGAGACAGTCGACCACCCACCTAGAGCCAATGTCTGTCTGAGGTTTCTGCCTCTTAAAAGGAACTTTTTCCTTGCCGCTGTCGCCAAGTGCTTGCTCATGGTGGGAATTGTTGGGTATATGTAAATAATGTTATAAGGAGTTCGGTCTAGACCTGCTCTATTTGAAAAGTGTCCTGAGATAACTTCTGTAATGAATTGGCGCCATACAAATAAAATTGAATTGAATTGAATAGTCTGGCTGGGACCTAGACATCTATCTTTTTTTTTTCTTATTGCCTTTAATTGATAGTGACAGCTGAAGATAGACAGGAAAGCGGGGTACTGCTAACTGGGATTTTCTGACTTGCTTCTGTGTATGTATGTATTTGTATTTGCATGCTGTTTCCCCCGTGGGGACAGCAGAGGTTGTTCCCCACCGGCAGACTGATTCAGCGAGCTGTGACAAGGATCAACTCAGATGTTTGTCATAACAACATAACAACTGCCCCTACTCACCTTAGAGTAACCCTGCTCTGCAGGGATACAGGTCCTGATCAGCCTGTATTTATGTATGAGTTATTGATTGCCAGGCAGATCCACATAGGCATCCTCTTCCCACATGTACAATCTCAAAATGTACAACTCTTTCATAATCATACACCTTAGGGGGTCTTTATACTAGTGGGTCTGACCTCATCAACAATCAAAATTATGTGGCAAATCTAGAGAAAGCAAACTTAATTAAGAACAGTGCAGCACATTTTAACACAGAAGAAACATCTGGGTGCATCCCAGCAAGTCCAAGGTTGAGAACAAAAACATTGATGATCTTTAGCTGTCCTCATATTAGTTCTGACTTCACAGGCAGAAGCCAGACCACAGAGCAAGTTGTATCAAAGTCTTTTTGAGACAAAATGAATAAGACCTGTCCTAGTATCAACTTTGACTTTGGACACAGATTCCTGCCTCCTGTTTTCATCTTGGTATTCGTCATTGGTCTTTTAGCCAGACCAACATATAGTGTATAAACACTGTTTTTCCAAAAATGTCTTTCAAAAGAAAGATGATGGTGGTGGAGAGCACTATCTAACACTTTGGTTCAAAAAACCTCCCATCCGTGTTTAATTGAGTTGAGATGAAGTGGTGAGTGTTTTCTCTCTAAAGTCAGAACTATACCACCAGAGGGACACTTTTACCTTCCTGTGTATGAATGAAGAGGCACTCCTGTATCACCCAAACTATTTACACACTAATATGTCATTAATAATGCACCTGTGTTGTTACATCTTTAGTCACATAGGGAACTCGGCATTCTGACTGAAATATTCAATCCTAGACTCTTGTTTTATCTTGGTACTAACATATAGATCTTTTTTTACACCTTAGCAGATCATGTAGACTTTTACCATCTGTTTAATCCTACATGAAGAAGATTTGAAAGCTGAAAGAAAATCCCTCAAATTCTGCTTGTAGAAATCTTCTCTGTTTCTCTAACCAAGAGACCACATCCACTATGATATGTTGTTATAGGGTTTTTATATATTGCCGTACAAATTATCAAATAATAAGCAGTGATTGGACAAAGCTTACATGCATATTCAGTGATGTAGCATCACTCACGCAGCAGGGCGTCACACAGGAAGTCTTCTTTGCACAAATAGTAAGACATTTTCTTTCACGTCTCAAAAGCCAGACCAACCACAGAGGGTGACTTCTTTTCAGAAGACAGAATGAATAAAACTTGTCCTTGTGTCAATTTCAATTACATTCATAACTATACTCAATCAAACATATTTAGGGAGCATGTAAGTACAAACATAAGGAAGATAAAACAAGGGGGAAGGAAAATTAAAAGAGAGACGACTGATGAAAAAACAAACAAGGAGATCTTGTGAACAGTGCTCTCAACACTCTGGTTTACCTCCATGCAAATGAAGATATTCCTGTCCAGCTCAGACAGTTGCTCCAGCAAGTTCATCAGACATTCAGCTGTTTGTTTCTGTCAAACTCTGGCTATGTGCCTGTGGCACATACTGCAGATGAAGCTTAACAAGTTAAAATTTTAACATTAACTGTTTACAGTGCAGCTGTCTAGCAAGAGTGTTGTAATTTGACTATAATGTAAATGTAACTGTTTCTCAAGTATTGCATTCTTTCTCTTAATAAAACTTGTGGTACAAGGTATCTGTGTTCATCATGATAGTTTTACTACCTGATGCTCTAGACTAACAGGAAATTCAGATAAACCACATAAGTCTTGGTGTGTCATGTTGAACTATGAAAAATTCTCCTGTTACAGTGTCTTCTTTCAATAACTCTATAATGGTTCCTCCCTATTTTTATTATTAACCAAGAGACCACATCCTCTATGATATGTTGTTGTAGAGTTTTTATATAGTGCTTTACAAATGATAAAATAATGAGCAGTGATTGGACAAAGCTTACATGCATGTTCAGTGATGTAGCACATTTCCAACTGAGGCGGCAGGGCGTCACACAGGAAGTCTTCTTTGCACAAATAGTAAGACATTTTCTTTCAAGTCTCAGAAGCCAGACCAACCACAGAGGGTGACTTCTTTTCAGAAGACAGAATGAATAAAACTTGCCCTCGTGTCAATTTCAACTTTGAACACAGATTTCTGCCTCCTGTTTACATCTTGGTATTCATCATTGGTCTGGTAGCCAATGGACGGGGACTCAAGTCTTTGCTGCACAACTGGAAGAAACTGGGCAATGTCAATATTTTTGTTCTCAACCTTGGACTTGCTGACATTTTGTACCTGCTCACACTCCCATTTTTGATGGTGTACTACTTTATGGGGAGTAAATGGATCTTTGGAGATTCATTTTGCAAGATAACAAGATTCTGCTTCAACCTGAATTTATATGGCAGCATTGGCTTCCTCACCTGTATCAGTGTGTACAGGTACCTGGCTATTGTTCATCCAATGAAAGTAATGGGAAGAATAACTGTCACTCACTCTGTGGCTATCTCAATCACAGTCTGGCTGTTGGTGAGTGTTCAAAGTCTTCCAGACATGTTCTACCCCAAAACCTTTGGAAACAGAACTGGGAAATGCTATGATACCACCCATAAGATCTATGTTGAGGATTACCTGAAATACAGACTTGGATGGACAGTCACTGGCTTTTGTATCCCCTTCCTCATCACACTGGGCTGCTATGGACACATGATTGTCATTCTTTGTCGCATAAATACCACTGACAAGATACTGAAACAGAGAAGCTTGAAGTTGTTGTTCATCTTGATTCTTCTTTTCTCTGTTTGTTACATCCCCTATCATGTACTCAAGAATCTCAACCTTGTCTCAAGAGTTTTGTTAAAACAAGGGCTGTGCCAAGGGTGGTTTAATAGAGTCTACATTGCTCATCAGATAAGTCGAGGCCTTGTGTGTCTGAACAGTGCTCTCAACCCTCTGGTTTACCTACATGTAAATGAAGATATTCCTGCCCAGCTCAGACAGTTGCTCCAGCAAGTTCGTCAGACATTCAGCCGTTTGTCTCTGTCAAACTCGGGCTGTGTGCCTGTGCCACAAACTGCAGATGAAGCTTAACAAGTTAAGATTTTAACATTAACTGTTTACAATGCAGCTGTCCAGCAAAAGTGTTGTAATTTGACAATAATGTAAATGTAGCTGTCAGTAATTTTCTCACGTATTGCAATCTTTCTGTTAATAAAACTTGTAGTACAACCTATCTACGTTCTTCATGATAGTGTTACTGTCTGATCCTCTAGACTAACAGGAAATTCAGATAAATCACATAAATCTTGGTGTGTCATTTAGAACTATAAAAAATTTTCCTGTTATGGTATCTTCTTTCAATAATTCTGTTCCTTTCTATTTTCAATCATGAATATAAAACAACCAAAAGTTTCTGTTTTCAAAAACAATAAATTGTCTTCAATACTATGATTTGTATTTTTGATGTTGACTAATGAAACCACCACCACAAAAGGACATAACATTGTAAAACTAATTTGTGATGCATTTTTAAAATTTACAAAGATTACAGTTATTCCTTCAGAAATCGGTTGTTTAATTTTCAAAAAGACATTTCAGCAGAGAGAATTGCGGGTAACTGTTTCTATGAAGACCACATCTATTGTTCATTATTGGGGGATTCATAGTTAATTATGATGCATTCATAATGCTTTATGACTGCACTCATAAACACACATACCACTTTCTGATATTAACATTCATAAAACATTATAATGTGACTTATAGAATTGTAAATTCAAGGGCTTATGGATACTCATAAACTAGAGACTGACTGATGGGGCTTAACAACTGTAGTAAGGACTCATAGTATGCTATAATCGTCCAAGCAGTATCATCAGTTGTCATTGTAGGTGTTACATAAAGTGAGGTACTGATTATTGATGCATCTAAAATAATGTATGCTTCATCAAAATAATCCATTGATGGTGGTAAGTAAAGCTTAATGAATTCCATGCATTCAAAAGAATCAATGTTGCATCATAAGTGATTATTATGTAAGATGCCAAAATGCAGAAAAGTAACATTTGCTAAACCATAATTTATAAAACCTATATGATATATTCATAGAAAAACAATATACAATGTGGCAAGCTTTCCTTTGGCCTCTCTGACTCATTTCTCTGTGTTTGACAGTAAAGTTGTTACTGTCTAGTTTTTGATCACAAGTAATGTAATTATAACAAATGTATGTTTACAGCTGCTTTGCACTCTGGGGCACGCCAAATTGCAACAAATACCAATACCTTACATCGTGTTGCTTTAAGGTTTCATTCCTAAAGCAAACACATTTTACTTGTAATTGTCTGCATTTTGGGCATTTTACACAGGATTACATATAAAGGAGTTGTAACATTACAGTTACATTCAGTAAAAATGCGGATTATTAGCAGGATTACAGTTTCAAAATAAACTTCAAAATAAAGAACAGTGCTACCGTGCACAGTGCATACTAATTACAACAGTTTGAGTCTCACAACACTACTCTGGTCTGGAGTGAAACTAAAGCTAATATTAAAGTTGCCAATTCATTATGACACAAAATGCTTTGCCTGGGTGTCTGACAAATGTCACGATTATTTTGTCTTTAAAGCAGAAAGGGGAACAACACCACAGCACAGGGCAAGTTCTGCATTCCAATTGTAAAATGGTCTAAATGCTACTGCCTGAATTTGGTTCATGAAAGGTTTTTCTTTAAAATAGACTGAGCAGAGGACACATTTTTGATGCTAAAATTTTGTTTTCCATTTTCTTTTCTAAGGTTGCATTGTTATGTTGTCTTATATCCTGTGGTTATTTGCACATTTGGTGTTGAGGCAATACAAAAGAAACCAGAAGTAATCAAGTTATGTTACTCTCATACTTGGATTTTTGTAATGTACATGTAATGGAATTAGTAATTGTATCAGATTACATACAAGTAACCCCTGGTCTTACATAATAATCACTTATGGTGCATAGATTATTTTAAATGCATGGAAATACACATACAAACACATACAACTATAATGGAAAATACTGCATGGACAATTATAGCATACAATGAGTCCTTACTACAGTTGGTTGATGAGGTGTGTGGTAATCACAATGTGTTATAAACTCCATCAGTCAACATCTAGTTTCTAACTAGTCACTAGTTCACTATAGATGTGGTCTTCCTAGAAAGTGTTACTGAATCAGGCTAATAATTTAAACATTTTAAAGCAATTATAGAATTCCCAACACTTTCCCATTATTACATTCATGTTAAATCTCTATATTGTTCTCTGTTATTCCACAGTTTACAGAACCACTGTAAATTACTGGTCTATTTTATCTCACTCTTATCAACAGTCTCCAGCTTGCTCTATCTTAGTTATCTATTCATTCTTGGACTTGGATGTGGACTTCTTCATCCTTATCAAACGTCCAATGAGACATCTACAGGAAAAGCAAACTAATGCAATAATCAGGAGACCAAATACCACAAAGACTGCCATCACATCTAGAGAGTGATAGGCATACCATGGCAACTTGTATGACTCGGTGTGCAGATGTGCTGCACCCTTGTACCTCATGACGTACTCTATCCAGAAAATGGCACTGTCTATGGGTTTTATTGGTTTGTCATGATGAAGCTGTGACAGTTTGAGCATATTCTGTTTGTATGGATTTTCTGGGTCTAGCATATTCTTCAGAGTACTTGTCAGAGACTCAACATCCAAGGTTGTCACGTCAACAATCTCAGCCCCTCCCCGAGCTTTCATGCGTACCATGTTGTCATACTGATCAAAGATGAGAGGAATCCCCAGAACTGGGACACCGTGGTAGATGGCCTCATAAATTCCATTAGTACCCCCATGTGTGATAAACAGCTTAGTTTTAGAATGACCTAGTATATCGTTTTGAGGCAGCCATTTGACCAACATGGTGTTATTTCCCAGAGTGATAGGTCTTTTCCCAATGTGTCTCCACACAACCTTCTGAGGGAGGTTGGCAAATGCCGAAGCGATGATCTCTGATATCTCAGGGCCGAGGTCGCCCAACAGGGTCCCCAGAGTCATGACAACCACTCCATGTTCACCAGAACTCTGCACAAATTCTTCTAAATCTGATGGAAGTGGGTTGGAGGGCTTACACTGGAACCCTCCGATGTAGACGACATTGGGCATGGTGGGACGAGGGAACTCAAATGTAAAGTCAACCCGCATTAGCCAGAGATCAGCTCCCTGGATGAGAGACATGACGTCGACATCAGGTCCAAAATAACGATCACACACAGCCTGGTACGGTGGATTTGAGATATAGTAGTACATGTAGACCAATATGCCATGACGGATTATATTATTGATTCTTTGAAAAAAGTCCATTTTATCAGAGTATTCAGAGAAAAGTTCGGGGATATAGGAGAGAGGAGAAGGAGCGATGGCGAAGTGTGCCTCTCCACTGAAAAGCCAGCGCACATTAAAGACCATAGGAAGCTGGAGATAATGTGCTAACAGCACTCCACCTGGAAATGCAGGGTCAGTCAGACAAAGATCATATCCAGTTTCCTTCAGCTCCTTCATTAGTGTCTTATTCTCAAAGATACTGATGACCAGTTTTGCCACAACTTCCTGATTCTCCCCTATCATGTTGAAAAGGTTCCTATAAAAATCCAGAAAGGCCCCTAGTGAGCCTATACTGCGCCGGATCTCTATTGACCTCCTCAAGAAAGAGGTCATGAAATCCTGGCTCTCAATGTTTTGAGACTGTTCCTGGGCGATGGTGATGGAGGTGTAATGGGGTGAGAATTCAGAAACATACCAGCTGGTGGAGGAGCGTATGACTGTTATTTGATGGCCCTGAGAATGAAGCTTCTCCACCAAGATTTTCATATTAATCCAGTGGCTTCCATCTATGGGGTAAACCAGCACTTTTCCACCATCACAACTGAAGCACAGAGTTGCAGAAAACAGCAGGATGAACACCAGGGCTGGATATGACCCCATCACTGTAGAAGAGACACAGAACTTACTGAACAAACATTTGCAGTTCATACAGTTCTCAAGCTGCAGAAAATTCCCCACGTTAACTCACATATGATCAACAAGTTGCCATTTCCTCTTATGCAACGCTAGCACAAATGAGGGTTAAGTCAAGAAAAGCCATGGTTACCTGTTTAATTTGACACTGTATTTATAGAACATTACATCATGTGTTTAATTCAAAGCACTTTGTGTCCGGCAACTAATTATTCACGCCTTTAATTGATCATTCCAATCACATTGTTCATAAAGCTAATGCAAAGTTAATCACATACTGCAATATCTCTACATAACCATCAGAAAAGTCACTTTGTTATGTCGAGATTAAACTTCACTTAGAGATACGTTTTTATGCATAATTACTTATATGTGCTTCTCTGCAAATCTAAATTGATTGTAAGTCTGTTTTATGAATGAGGCCGCAAACATACTGCTAACTCTCACAGATGCTGGTTAGAGGAATGAACAGAAGTCATGAGGCCATAATTTATCATGGGGATAAACCCACTGAATGCGACCAGCACCAAACAGCAAACAGACAAAGTATAAAATATAAGGTGATTTGTTATCTTGTGTTTACACTTGTTCTGCTGCCACTGAGTGGGAAGATCAGTTAATACTGCTGTTAATATGTTCCTCGATGTTAAAATATAGCTAGCCTTTTACTGTGTCTGCTATTAAACATTAAAGAAATGTTCCAAAAAAGGGTGTGCGGGGGTCACATGTGTCGTAGTTTATATATATATATATATATATATATATATATATATATCCCAAATGTTTCAAACTACAAAGTTTTTTGGATTTCTATCTGTTGTGTCTTTATGTTCGGTATTCTGCTACATAGTCTTGTTTTTTCTAAATCTGACCACCTGCTACATTTTGCTCTTTGTCCAGTGTCTCAGTCAGTTTTTTTTTTTTCTTCCTGGAACTGTTAAGTAATGTTTAGCACCAATTAACCAAGTCAAAGTCCTTGTGCACTTGACACATGACGGAGTCATGCATCCGTTCTGTACTTTCTAAGAAATCTTGTTTTTTTAGTGTTTAAGGTGTGCACAGCAGGTTCTTAAATGTAAAATATTAAAACTGTTAGACTAAAATAAAAGCAAACAGATGTGCTGTTTTATGACAAACATTTCAGTGACTGGAATCAAATTTATCTGCTCTGAACGTTTTAGTTTTTGTCCGTGTGCAAAATAATCACAACATCTTACAATGTAATTTAGGGCACAACCACACACAGTTGCAAAATGGAGCAGAAAAGCAAGAGCAAAACCATAGTCTAGATTACCTGATTCAACTGCAGACTCAAAGGCCAAGAAAGCTGAAAAACAAGTCTAATCTGTGGTTTTAAATAATCTTTCAATGCAAGCAATTTTTTTGTAAGCATCAGTAGTTTATCAAAGATTCAAAGTCAACAATAAGCTGTTCTGCAGGCCTGTTTCTGTAATAAGACTAACCGTGGTCTGATGAAATGCCACTGAATAAAAGTAGGACAGAAACTGTTCAAAACTGAGCATAAAAGCAGCAACACAGAGTTTGTTGCAAAATTGCTCCTCACCTCAGACTCTGTGACTTCTCTCCCCAGCCAAAAAGAATCCAGTGCCTGAGGTTATCATGCAAAAGTTGAAATGCAAGTCAATGTATAACTCTACATAACCCTGACTGAACTGGTCCATTCTGCTGCCTGTTTGTCCAAAGAAATGTAATCATGTGGAGGTCCCCTCTCAACTCTCCGCCCAGATTTTGCCTGTTGTTGCTATTTTGCCTCTCTGCATGAACATCTGGATATCATTTTACAAACTTCCGGAATGAACATTTTCACAGAAATATTAATGCGGTGCTTAAATACTAATAGGCCTGATGCATTCAAACCCAGCAACTATCTTAGCCCCTGTTCTCTGCCACCACAAGATTCTTTATTTATGTGTGTATTTAGTTGAAAGATAACCATGCAAAGGTCTGGTTACTTATTTCAAAGCAATGTAATATCCTCATATGTCTGTGTACAAACTTTGAGTCCATGAAATCTTAACCAGCCTGAATTACCAGCAATGGTTAACATTTTGTTAAGTATGGTTTCTTTTTCTTCCCCAGTGAGTGCTAATGCAGTATTTTGCCTGCAGGATACAAAGGCTAACTAAGTTTATCTTTATCTTGATAGTTTTGAAGTTCCAAGATAAGGTAAACTCAAACAGAAGAAGAGACTATTTTAGATATGATCTGTGTTGCTCCAATCCAGAAAGAAACTCTCTGCTCTAAACCACATGTTGTACAAATCTCTGGATGGTTATTGTTAAAATTATTTTGTAAAAGAAGGGGGGTCCATTTCGTCCATTTTGAGAATTGAGAATTTCTCTTTCACATGTCTGTACCCAGTTTGCACAGAAAAGAAAAACTGAAGTGTTAAAAGAGTCTCAGTTTTATAGTAGAACTCCACTGATCCATCACGGTGGTCAGAGGTGTCCAGTGGATCAGGAAGGTGCAGTCTCCTGCGGATGTCCTGGGTTGCTCATCAGTTTCTGACCCAAATGTAGTTAAGGCATACACAAGGACGAAATTTTGATTTCAGAGGTGGGGAGGGCACAAGTATTTTTAATAAAACTCTAACTCTTTCAGATATATATATAGATATATTAAAGAATAATTTAACTAAATACATAAGTCTCACATGTTCATAATGATTGTTCATAAAGGCTTGGTGAGTGTTCTCTCACTGAAGTACCACCAGAGGGAGACTCTTCCCTATCCATCTGTGTGATTGATGAAGAACTCCTGTAGCTCCTGTTTACACACTTACATGAGATGAATAATATCATGCATCTGTACTCTGTGTGCTGAAACTGTTGAGATAAGAACAATGTGTTCCCCACAAAGTATGCTTCTAGAAATAAACTATCAACCCAGGTTCTCTAACCAAGAGACCACATCAACGATGATTGTTGTAAAGATTTTTATTTTGTGTGTTAAATTATAGCATAATAAGTAGTGGTTGTGCACGACAGAAAAAAAACCCAGTTGTGGTTATTTTCTTCAACGCTTGAATGCACATGCAGAGATGTAAATAGATTTGTCTGTGCTATCAACACAGCAGTGTTTCAAACAGGAAGTCATCTTTGAATATATAGTAGGTCATGTTTTCTTGCACCTCTCATAATCCAGATCACCCACAGAGGAAGAGGTCTGTACAAACTTCTTTTCAGAAGACAGAATGAATAAAACCTTTTGTCCTCGTGTCAGCTTCAACTTTGAACACAGATTTCTCCCTCCTGTTTACATCTTGGTATTAATCATTGGTCTGGTAGCCAATGGATGGGGACTCAAGTCTTTGCTGCACAACTGGAAGAAACTGGGTAACGTCAATGTTTTTGTTCTCAACCTTGGACTTGCTGACATTTTGTACCTGCTCACACTCCCATTTTTGATGGTGTACTACTTTATGGGGAGTAAATGGATCTTTGGAGATGTATTCTGCAAGATAACAAGATTCTGCTTCAACCTGAATTTATATGGCAGCATTGGCTTCCTCACATGTATCAGTGTGTACAGGTACCTGGCTATTGTTCATCCAATGAGAGTAATGGGAAGAATAACTGTTACTCACACTGTGGCTATCTCAATCACAGTCTGGCTGTTGGTGAGTGTTCAAAGTCTTCCAGACATGTTCTACACCAAAACCTTTGGAAACAGACCTGGGAAATGCTATGATACCACCCATAAGATCTATGTTGAGGATTACCGGAAATACAGCCTTGGATGGACACTCACTGGCTTTTGTATCCCCTTCCTCATCACACTGGGCTGCTATGGACACATGATTGTCATTCTTTGCCGCATAAACACCACTGACAAGATACTGAAACAGAGATGCTTGAAGTTGTTGTTCATCTTGATTCTTCTTTTCTCTGTTTGTTACATCCCCTATCATGTACTCAGGAACCTCAACCTCTGGTCAAGAGTTTTGTTAAAACAAGGGTTGTGCCGAGGGTGGTTTAATAGAGTTTACATTGCTCATCAGATAAGTCGTGGCCTTGTGTGTCTGAACAGTGCTCTCAACCCTCTGGTTTACTTACATGCAAATGAAGATATTCCTGCTCAGCTCAGAAGAGTACTCCAGCAAGTTCGTCAGACATTCAGCCGTTTGTCTCTGTCAAACATAGGCTCTGTGCCTGTGTCACAAACTGCAGATGAAGCTTAACACAAGTTTAGATTTTGACATCAACTGTTTAATAAGAAAGAGGTCAAACAGTAGCAAACATTGGAATGACCATGTAAAATCATTCTCTTACTTAGTGCTTACTTACTTTTACTGTACTTGTCTTTCTTTTAAATCTTTGTCATAATGCTTTTACTATGTTGACAAATGTTTGAATTAAACAGGAAACGCAGATAAACCACAACTCTTGGTGTGTCGCTCTCTCCTTCGGAAAAGGTTTGTGAAGAGATAAGAGATAATAATGATCATATAATGTGGATGGCGGGGCCTAGTGCCATGCAATGTCTCTATAGATTGGTTATGTATACTTATGATACAGTGCATATTCACAATTATATCTCTCTTTCTCAACACAGAGTCTTATCATATCACCTGCATTTTGAGTGATACCAGTCATTATAAGCAGAGAGAGAATACAGCAGTTCTTCCGGACCTACATTGATAATCATGTCCTGGTATATTAAAGGATCATTTGGTTAATCTGCGGGTCTGCTCAAACCTAGATGATCAGGATCAATGATCTGACTGCTTGTGTTTCTTGTTCGGTTGGACTTCTTGTTAGTGATGTGGCCACATTCCCAGATCTCAGGAATTAGTAAGATTTGTTATAAGTAGTAAGAATTATCATCAAAATCATCAAAATTCTGAAAATAAGACCCAAGTTGCAATAAACTGTAATTATTCTTAAATCTGGTCATAATCACAATATTCTCAAACACAATGTGACTCTTGTGCCCCAAATCCAGTTTATTTGCAACTATAATGAATATAACATTACACATTTTATCTCTTCCAATAATCATGGACTCATGGATGTTCAATAGAAAGCATTCTTTACAGAGGCCTCATGGATGTTCAATAGAAAGCATTCTTTACAGAGGCCTAAATGTCTACTCTATTCAAGACAATTGAGAGCATGTATAATGTTTTACAGTTAAGGCTGAAAGAGAAACTTCTACGTGAGGTTTAGCTGTGGTGGCTTTCTTTCGCATTTTTGTGACCACAAATGTTACACAGGTCTGAACAGGAAGTCCTCACATTACAGGCAGTCTCAGCATTTTGTCTAACGTCATAATTCATCAATAAAAAACACACTCACTCACACCAAGAGAAGGAAACGCATCTTGTCATCTGTTACATACCCTGTCATTCAGAAACCTCAAATATCAGAATGAGGTCTACATTGATGGTCAGATGAGTTGTGGCCTCTGAACAGTGCTCTCAATCCTCTAGTGTACCTTCATTGAAACGATGACAGAAAATATATTCCTGCTCAGTAAATTCAGTAATTCAGTAAAACTCAGAATACAGTAAATTTCTCCGATAATGATACAAATTGTGTCCCTGTAATAATTGTGAAATGTTATCCCATTGTATACATATTATGCATGTTATTATATATAATGATTTAATTGTTCATTCTGTTTGTTTTTAATTATGAATATAAAAGAACCAAAACTCTGTGTTTCAAAAAGCTTTTAATTTTTGTAATCACAGGCATTAAGTACAGCAGAAATTAGTTTTATGTTACTTTTTTCCCCCATTTCATTATCATTAGTTGTGTATGTGAAATTTGCAAAGATCACAAAATGATTCCTCTGGATATTGGTTGTTTACTTTTCAAAAAGCAGCAGAGGAATTAGAGCTAATCATCATTATCATTTTTGCATCATCTATTCATTCTTGGACTTGGATGTGGACTTCTTCATCCTTATCAAACGTCCAATGAGACATCTACAGGAAAAGCAAACTAATGCAATAATCAGGAGACCAAATACCACAAAGACTGCCATTACATCTAGAGAGTGATAGGCATACCATGGCAACTTGTATGACTCGGTGCGCAGATGTGCTGCACCCTTGTACCTCATGACGTACTCTATCCAGAAAATGGCACTGTCTATGGGTTTTATTGGTTTGTCATGATGAAGCTGTGACAGTTTGAGCATATTCTGTTTGTATGGATTTTCTGGGTCTAGCATATTCTTCAGAGTACTTGTCAGAGACTCAACATCCAAGGTTGTCACGTCAACAATCTCAGCCCCTCCCCGAGCTTTCATGCGCACCATGTTGTCATACTGATCAAGGATGAGAGGAATCCCCAGAACTGGGACACCATGATAGATGGCCTCATAAATTCCATTAGTACCCCCATGTGTGATAAACAGCTTAGTTTTAGAATTACCTAGTGTATCGTTTTGAGGCAGCCATTTGACCAACATGGTGTTATTTCCCAGAGTGATAGGTCTTTTCCCAATGTGTCTCCACACAACCTTCTGAGGGAGGTTGGCAAAGGCTGAAGCGTTGATCTCTGATATCTCAGGGCCGAGGTCGCCCAACAGGGTCCCCAGAGTCATGATGACCACTCCATGTTCACCAGAACTCTGCACAAATTCTTCTAAATCTGATGGAAGAGGGTTGGAGGGCTTACACTGGAACCCTCCGATGTACACAACATTGGGCATGGTGGGACGAGGGAACTCAAATGT